AGGTCAGAGTGCAGGCGGAGAGCTGGTCACCTGCACCGCACAGGGATGCCCTCTAACTGCTCCATCCCTCTTTCTTCCTCTTCCCTTGTGTTCAAGGGTGTGGGATGAAGAGGCTTGGAACTGAGGTGCCCCTTGTCTAAATATGGCTTGGGGCACAGGGCTCCCCTCTCTCATATTTGATGCCTAGGGGTAGTTGGGGGGGGGCATGACACAGCATGGAGGTTCTGTAAGAGGCCCTTTCCTGGGCCCTCGGGGAAAGAGGACCGGGTTTTGGCAATGTTCCTAACGAAGGAGGAAGGGAAATACTGTGTCCCACAGGCCAAAAGGGAAGTCAGCTCTGGAATAAATGTGGAAAAAACACTCACCCTCTCTCCAGAGGGCGCTGTAGACCTTTTGGGCAGGACAGTTCTGCCACGCACCTTGCAGTATGCTTATTATCCCTGGACCCTGTCCATCAATAACATAGCCATATCGTGCAATCGTGTTGTCCTTGGGATAACCAAAAATGCCCACCAAATTTCCAGACATCCCCCGGGGGACAGTGTCCCTCCCACTTTTTGCCGAGAGGATATTGAATTGCCACAGACTCTTCTATCTGGTAAGAGACCATGACCAGTCCAGAGCTCTCTTTATCATGCTATATCTGTGTTCATGAAAATCAAACTCTGTTTACCAATCATTGCCTTATCTGGTCAAGTTGGTGATTCTGATTTTCAGACTTGATGGCTCTTCGCTGTATCCTGATCTATTTTCCCCATGGAGTTTACAATTCATCGTGAGTTCTCTGACCAGGGAAGGGATTTTTCAAGCATCTAAGCCATGAGGACCAGTGACTTCCTTAAGGCTTGGCCCCTGCAGATGGCAGCTGGCCTCCTAGAGGTGAAGGACCACAGGTGTAGTGACCACAATCGCTATAGGACTTCAGAGGAGAGAGTGTAAAGGAACAAAGAGTTTCAAGTGGGAACTTTGGCCCTCCTAGGGACTCACAAAGTCATATTTACTGATGGAGCCGGCTGGGCCGAGGGAATACACCCTTCCAGCCTTGCCCATACGGCATTTTTCCTCCGGGGCCTCCTAAGTATGGAACTTTCCTCTGAGAACATGCAACACCGGACTGTTTAGTCAGGGGCACTGACCTCTTTTCCCTTAGATTGTCAAATAGAAAATGACAGCGACCAGCACAACAATAGCATCTGGTGTGAATGCCTGGTCTTGAACCATACACGTACAGGTCATATAGTAAGAGTTGCATCTTATTGGTCATGTTGCATCTGACTGGATTCTTGGTACCAGAAATCCTTCTATACACTTATAAGCACCTGATTTCTTAATAGGTCACTTTGGAACAAAAAAGGGCAGGTAAGGACAATTATTGTAAATCAATCAAAATTATACCTATTTTTTTGTAAGATTGGCAAAAAAATACAATATATTTTTTGGTGTGCCACTGGACTTTGGTAATGTGTGTGTGTGTGTGTGTGTGTGTGTGTGTGTGTGTTTGTGTGTGTGTGTATGTGCGTGTGTGTTTGTGTGTTTGTGTGTGTGTGTGTGTGTGTGTGTGTGTGCGCGCGCGCGCGCCATGAAATGAAGAAGGCTGAAATCGCTGCTCTAGAGTTTTGTGAACCAATGGCCAAGGCCAGACGGGTCCCTAGAAACAGAGAAAGAATCCTCAATGTTGAAACGGTTCCTCTACAGTGTGTCTGGGGGGAGCTGAAGGGGAGAGACGATTGCAGCCGAGACAAAGTCCCCTTTGCAGTTGGTAGTACCCTCTGTGGGCTCTCCGGGCTGGCCCTCTCTTTCCTCCTTGTGGCCGGTCCTTCCTTCTGCTCTTTCTCTGCCTCACGGTGAGGAGCCGGGCTCTGTGAGGGTGCTGTTCATGCTCAAGGCTCATCCCATCAGTTCAGAGGATCGGGCTGTTGGTTAAAATCAGACTTTTGGATTTTCTTTTTCATCAGCTATTTTGTCTCCCACCCACTCCCTCTGGGGGATGATTAAGAATTGCCTACGAACCTCTTGATCTCTCCTTTAAGTCTTTCTAGCTTTTTGATTCCAACAGCCTTATAGCCTTTAACATTCCTACTTTTTTTTTCTTCTTTTCTTTTTTTTTAATTAGCTCTCTCTAAAAATTAAATTGTGGTTATTCATTTCAGATTTTAGATGTCCTCCCTCCTGTTTCTGAGACTTAAGGGTCGTTCATAATTTTTATTATTTTGACTATTTTTTCATGAGCAGAAGTAGGACTTTATTGACTCATATAGTTGAGAGAGATACATGGGAAATCAGAGAATTAAGGGAAGATCCATGGGAGCCAAAGCCTCGGGTGCTGGCAAAGGAGTCCTGCTCCTCCAGCACCCACTCCCTCTACCTTCCCCCCAGCCTCCAGCACCCATTCCCCCCCTCCCCCCAGCCTCCAGCACCCATTTCCCCCCACAGCCTCCAGTACCCACTCCTCCAGCCTCCAGCACCCATTCCCCACCCCCCCCAGCCTCCAGCACCCACTGCCCCCACAGCCTCCAGCACCCACTCCTCCAGCCTCCAGCACCCACTCCCCCTTGTGTCCTGCCTTGCTCTGCACTTATTCCTCAGCTCTGTCTCCCACCACAACCTGCCTTGCCTTGTGCCAGGTAACCTGGCACCGCAGCCCTGCTCAGCAACCCAATGCGAAGAGCGTTTTCTCAGTATCTATTGATTGTTTAATAATTGTAATCATTTCCCCTAAAAGGAGAACCACTCTGAGCGTAACAGAGCCATGTCCGCTCTCTGTAATTGACGTTAATGAGAGCAAGGTCACACAGGACCTTGGACCTCCCGGAACAGGAAGTGAGGCGGGGGGCGGGGGCGGGGGGTTAGGAGAGACTGACAGGGTAGAGCAGACCTGGCAGAGTATCTGACCCATGTTGTCCCTCAGAAATCAATGTTTTATAGTGTCCCCCCTGGAGAGAATTATTTGGACACACTGATGCCAATTAAAACCATTCATACTTTCTTGATTCATTTTTCTGGATTGCCCCTGCTGTCTCACTGCTTCCTCTCATCCCGCCTCCCCACTTACTGCTAATTGAGTCAGTAATACCCAGAAAATACCTCCCTTTGCTCTAAAAAGCAGGAACGGGTAGATCAGTGTCTCCTTACTCTCAAGGGTGAGGAGGGCTGTGTTATGAGCCTGCTCCGTCCCCATTTCTCTCTCATTACCAGCTTCTATTCTGTGTAATTATCTCTCATCCTGTTGTGTTTGACAGCATCGCCCGGACGTGCTTGTGGCCTCTTAGAGCAGGGAAAGAGACCAGAGGTCCCTGCCCATAACCAGGGACACATCAGCATCACTGATGATCTTTCCAGAACAATCACTCCCAGTCAGTGCCCACTGCCCAGCTCAGGCGTGAGAAGGCCTCGCACTCCCAGGTGGGGCAGGATGGCCGCGCTCCCAGGTAACACAGGAGGAGAAAGCCATGGGTGGGAGGTGCATGGCAGCAGCTCTCTCTGAGCAGGCAGAACGGATGCTGAGTCTGCAGGAGAGAGAGGGAAGGTGCCAGGAATCCATTTCTCTGGGTTTTCAGGCGACCCTGCTTGAGGTTTGCACAATAGCCACAAGTGAGGCACAGCAGGAGCCCCAGAAGCCAGCAGCCTCCTGCTTAGTCCTTTTCGCCTGCATGAATCCGGCCAGTTCAGAATTGCAGTTATAATGGAGCGCAGCAAGAGTCAGGAGGCAGTGACCACCCCAGAGGTGGGCAGGTTTCTGGAGGATATTTGGAACCATCTCCAGGCATTTCCACTCTTTTCTGTGTCTTTGGAGTAGGCTGAGATATTTGTCAGGACCCATGGGGCCCTGGGTGTCGGGCTGTTGCTCTGAACCTGGTCCTCATTCTAAATACACAGCCTAAAAGGACAGCTCAGAGGGCTCACACACTGCAGCACAGCACGGGGTCCCCCTCGAGAGGCCCCCCAGATCGTCAGGGCTGAGGTAGGCTTAGGCTTAGTTGACTTTATGACATCCGCATGAAGGTAATAAAAGTTAGGGAAAAGTTCAGTGAAGACCTCGGATGGATGAGCAGAATTCTTCATCATCCATTAGAGAAAACATCTCTCCAGTTCCATGTACACTGTATGGCCAGACTATTATCATCTCTGAATGCATAATAATCTGGCCACTCCATGTATATCCTATATAATAAAAGGCCACTCAGTGTATATCCTATATAATATGCAAATTGTCCTCTTGACCAGGAGTTCAACTAGCAGGCAGGCTGGCCAACCTCCCATGTCCTATTCCCCTGGGCAGGCTGGCCAGACCCCACGCATGCACAAATTCATGCACTGGGCCTCTACACACACACACACACACACACACACACACACACACACACTCACACACACTGAGTGGCCAGATTATTATGTGTTCAGAGATCATAATAATCTGGCCACTTCTCAGTGTATTTCAGGAGCATATTTTGACGCTACCGCCAGCTCACCATTGGCGTACCAGAGCTCTGATTCCAGGAACGCAGTCAGCTTGAACTGCTCTCCTGCGCCCTCTTAACAAGGTTCCTCCTAATAGTGGGTCAGAGCGATGGGGTTGCTCCCATGGTCAAGTAAACTGGCCTGGAAGATCGCCCCCATCTGGACCTCATCACATGGAGTTGTGCTTGTTACCATAGAGAACAGCTCAAGCAGGTCTTGTGCCTACAGATGTACATGCAGAAGCTGTGTAGAGACATTCCAGCTGAATCTTCACTAGCTTCAGAACTTGTGTTACACGTGTCCGGAGAAAGCTCATCTGGGTCGTAGGAGGTAACAGCTTGGGCGTGTGGCACTTCTTTCGATAGATCAAAATGAGTATGATGCAGGAATAGAAGTTTTGAGATCTGTTTAAATAATAATTTTAATTTAAAGAACAGTCCAGGCTCTGGAGGAAGCACCCTTGGCTGCCGACGGAGGAAGGCTGGATGCTGTGCCAGTCTGACTTCCCACCGTGCAACGAGGTGCTCTTGCCTTCCCCGCAGGTCCAGTTCCTCTCCCCACGGGCTCGCCGTCGCTTCCACGCTGCCCTAGCATCATGCTCCACCTCCATGCTCATCCTGTCCAATCTGGTATTTCTTGGGGGCAACCAAGTTGGGAAGATCTACTGGAACAGGATCTTCATACAAGGTAAGTTGCGGGCAATGCTATTTTCATTCAGTTTCTTGCTTTCCACATATGCACTTGGTATCTTGTTCTATTTATGGCATATGACTTCCAAAAATACAGGAGCAACGCCTTGTGTTTTGAGGTACCTCTTATATAGGACATATGACACTCAACATCAGAATGTACTGTCCTGCCCGGCCGGGGTGGCTCGGTGGTCATGGTTTGATTCCCGGTCAGGACACATACCTAGGTTGCAGGCTCGATCACCTGCAGTAGGGGGCATGCAGGGGGCAGTTGATCGATTCTCTCTCTCTCTCTCTCTCTCTCTCTCTCTCTCTCTCTCTCTTTTTTTTTTTTTTTACGATTCTCTCTTATCATTGATGTTTCTATCTCCCTCTCCCTTCCTCTCTGAAAGCAATAAAAGTATATTTTCAAAAAATGTACTTTCCCGACTATCTCAAACTCTACCATTCCATTCCGCTCAGTTACCTCTTCAATTTTTTCACTTTTAAAATAATCTTACTGTCTGTACCAGCTTTCAGCATACGGTAGAGTCTAAGGTTCTTCCACTCACGGCTCTGAAAGTCCTGCTGGGATTATGTGCTAGGAGCCCCGTGCTCTCCTGCAGCTGTGGGCGAGGCACTAGGTTGCCACAGCTCTCTGTCGGGGATGTTTTTTGTCTGCACACCGGGATGCCAGCATTGCCAGCCAACCGCATTAAGTGGTTCATCTCAGTGTCCACAGCCCAGCCATACTTGCAACAGGTAAAATGCTAGTTTATGGGAAGTACTGTGAAAATTGCCTTAATAATTGGTCATCATTTAATTAGGGTCCCCATTTCCCTGGAGCTGGAACTAAGCATCGTATCATGTCCTTTAGAGAATTGGGAGAAAGGGAAGTACTCACAGGACACATCCCTCCAGCCACTTCCCCGTGTTCTGTGTCCCTGACCATTGGCGGGGTTTTGCGCCTTTGGTTTGGGGAGCTTTGCCAAGCCGTGATGACGCGACTCTGCATGGCTAGGCTGTCACCTGTCAGCCAGGCTCATGGGTGACAAGAGAGGGCCCTGTTCGGCTTTCATCTCCCCACTACCCTGCCCCCCTTTGATCTTCCTTCCTGAGAAACGTCTTACTGAGAGTTCCTGAAGAGATGAGGTTCTTTTTAAGCGGCGGTCTTCCTTTCATAGATGGGAGATAATGGGTGCAGAGGATCTGAAGATGAAACGATGCTGCTAGAGGCGGTGACACTGTGTTCCTTCTATTGCCTCCTGCAGTACCTAGCACAATGCCGAGAACCCAGGGCTGCGGGGAAATGCTGACTTGTGGTTTGCTGGCCCCGCGAGCGAGAAGGCTCTGATTTTTGCTTCAGTAAATCAAGCATATTGAGTATTTGCAGCTTGCAGGACACCGAGAAGACAGGGGTGGGAGAAGCACACACAAATGCGGGTCCGCAAACTTGCAAACAGAAATGCGTCCATAGATCCAGGTAACGGTTTGCCAGACACGCGAGGTCAGGGACGGAGAGGCCGACCTACCCTGGAGTTGGACTTGCTCGAGGCGGCAGCCTTTGCTGTGGAGTTTAAAGCACAATACGTGGGAACTGGTCAGGTGGAGAAGGCAGGTGTGTGGGGGTCCTTAACACGCGCTGCTGTGTCAGCGAATTCCCAGCTCTCAGTAACTGTGCCCCGTAGAAGTTTATTCTTCTCACAGTGACCCCAGGACCTAGGAGGTTTCTGCTTTTGTTTTGTTTTCTTTTAAATATTTTATTGATTTTTACAAAGGGTAAGGGAGAGGGATAGAGAGTTAGAAACATCAACGAGAGAGAAACATCCATCAGCTGCATCCTGCACACCCTCCTACTGGAGATGTGCCTGCAACCAAGGTACATGCCCTTGACCGGAATTGAACCCGGGACCCTCCAGTCCGCAGGCCGATGCTCTATCCACTGAGCAACACCGGGCAGGGCTAGGAGCTTTCTGTTTTGATTCTCCACCGCCTTGTCTTGGCATCATGGAGGGGAAGGGGTGTCAGGGGTGGTGCACAGGCACTCCATACCCCCTGCCCCGCCGCCGGAAGTGACGTCGGCACGTGGCATTTCTGCTCACATCCCATTGGCCAGGGCCAGCCCCGTGACCAACCCAAGCGCACGTGCGGGCTCCGTGGGAAAGAACGCGGGTGTTCGCAGGCAGTGGACCAGCGGGAAGGGGGGGCCCCAGAGGCAGCGGAGAACGTAAGTGGGAGCGCGGAGGAGGGCGGGACTAAATGGTTGCCATGTGGGGGGCCAAGGGCAGGGAGGTGGCCTGCAGGTAAGGCCATGCGAGTGCACACAGCCCGTCAGGGAGCACGGAGAGCAGGGGCGCGGTGGGCCCTGGGGCTGCTGGCATGGAACAGGGCGGAGAGAAAGCCAGAGGCTTTCATGTTGTTTCATGTTCAGTGTTGTTTCGGCTCCCCAAGGCCAGGAAGACCAAAGTGTGGTTTGCCCCGCGCCCCGTGCAGCTCCCCTGGGTGCCATGGGGCTGGGGCTTTGGGAACGGCGTCTGCTGCCCACGTGTGGGGCCCAGCAGGGTCTGCACCCGGGGTACGTCGTGTCCTCCTGGGGGGGGCAGGTGCTGGAGGCCGGGGACTGATTCCCCAAAAGTAGGGGGCTCTATGGAATTATTTCTCTCCTGGTTCTGGGGCCAGGCAGCTCAAAGTAAAAGGCGTTCTCTGGGTGGGAGGTTCTTCCGATGAGCCTGGTCCTTCCGAGCCAGGGGATGTCGGCTGGGGTTTGGGCAGTTGCCCCATTTGTCTGGTCTTTGTTTTTGTCCCCGAGTTTCTATATCCAGGAGGACGGTGCCAAATCCCCTGCCCTTGAAACCTCTGGATTTTTTTTTTTTTTTAATTCATAACTAGAAGACGAGTATGAATATTCATGTTTTGATACGAAAGTGCATAAATGAGTTCATCGGATGCTTCCTCAGGCCCTGCTGGGGTGTAACATTAGCTTTCTAAAATAAAAACAACAAAAACCTGAATTCTGAGGTTGCTCCGGCCCCAGAGGTTTCGGATATGGGACTGTCGACCCGAACCTGTTGCTGCCGATGAACGAGCCGGGAGTTTGACAGGCTGGCAGCCCCTGGCCTCGTTCCTCAGCCACCTGAGCAGCACCTGCTGTTGTAGGACCCACGTGCACCCACTGAGGAAGATGGGATGAAGTGGTGGGGGAAGGCTGTCTGTGGGGGATGGAGAGCATTCAAGCGCAGAGTCTAGGTGTCCAGGCTTAAAGTAAGGTGACCAGACATCCCGCTTTTGGCGGGACAGTCCCGATCTCCAACAATTCGTCCGGCGTCCCGCTGCGTTTTAAAAAAGTCCCGATTTTTTTTTTTTTTTTTAAACGCAGCGGGACGCGGGACAAATTGTTAAACATCGGGACATCTGGTCACCTTAGCTTAAAGAGAAGGTGACCCTTCCTTTGGGGTGACCACCATTGTCCCTCTGTGCCCTGCTGGGTGGGACCTGCCGCAGGCCCAGGGGGCAGCCGGCAGCACTCAGTTCCTCTCGCAGGTCTCACCTGTGGGCCCTGGAGCAGCGGGAAGGGGCGGGCAGGTGTCAGGAGGCTGGGGCTCCGTGAGGAGATGGAAGACACAGCCTCACTACTTCCAGAACCTGGAGAGCCTTTCCCAGCACCGCCAATGTTCCTACAAGGTTCTCCTGGTTAGCCCGGTGGAGTTGTCTTAAGGTCAGCATCTCTCCTGCTTCCAATTCACTGAATGTAGACTCGGATTTGTTTGCTCTCAGCTGAAAAGCTTCATTCAGTAGCTTATGTAAAAACCTCTCCCGGTCTCAGTGGGACTGGGATGGGAGAGGAGGCTGTCAAGTCAGAGCCTTCCCTGTCTGCGGAGATACAGCCCTGCTGTCCAGGACTGTGGACAGTGCAGCCAGGGGGTGGACATGCTGACCTCTCACACACAAACCATTTTTTTTTTTTTTTTTTTGCAATTGTAGAAGTTATGTTCCAGCTGGGGGGAGAAGTTACATGAATTAAGTGAATACCTCAAGGTGAATGATACTAAGGGAAAATAGAGGCAGGGAAGAACCTAAAGAGTAAGGGAATTCTCTTTTAGATATACTTAAAAAATATATTTTATTGAATTTTACAGAGAGAAAAGGGTTAGAGAGTTAGAAACATTGATGAGAGAAAAACATTGATCAGCTGCCTCCTGCACTCCCCCTACTGGGGATGTGCCCGCAACCAAGGTACATGCCCTTGACCGGAATCGAACCTGGGACCCTTGAGTTAGCAGACTAACGCTCCAGCCACTGAGCCAAACTGGTCAGGACAAAAATATGTATGTTTTATTGTAGATAGTATTACAGATGTTCCCCTACCTCCTGTCTTCCCCCCTCCACCCATCCCCTACCTGCTCCAGGCCTTCACCACACTATTGCCCATACACAAACCATTGTTATGGAGTGCTGTCTCTGCTGCAGAGGTTGGAGATGTATTATTCAATTAATGCAGTTGAGGAATATAATCTATATCTTTGCTGTTCTTTTATGATTGAAGTTTAAGTAGCTTGAGGAATGTGAATGTTTAGATGCACGCACACATAGGAGGAGTGTGTGTGTGTGTGTGTGTGTGTGTGTAGAAGGAGCCTCGCTGGTCCAGGGGTCTGGGAAGGATGTGGCTGGGGAGCTGGTCCCCAGCCTGCTGTGTCATGCTCTGCAGAGGCAAATGCAGGATGCCTCTTACATAACTCTGGCTCTCCGAAGCGCTTGTTGATGGAAGGAGCCTTAAGTCCTTGACATTGAAGTCTAAGTTGATTTTTGGACAAGCAGCCCACTGAGCAGCACCTGACTTCTCTGTAACGCAAAAATATCTCTGTGTTACAACGTCAAATATGCAGGCCCAGTCTCCATCAATCAGCGGTGCCCTTCAGCCCCTGGGCTCTGTAGAAAGGCGACCCAGCCATCTCCTGGGAGGTGGGGCGCTGGAGTCTGCAGCTAGGGTTTTGCAGGGATGGGAGTTTGGTATAGACATGG